ATTTGAATTAACAAAGTAGATTAATAAAGATCATAAAGGCAAATTAAGTATATTTTTCTGCTACTGGCGTTACTTGTCAAATTCAGCAGTCAATTTATTATCTCCTCTTACTCAACTGTTCTACAGCATTTGACAGCGGTGACCACTGCATACCTCTTTTGACACACTTTCTTCTTCAGCCTCAATTACACCACAGTCTTCTGGTTGTTTCTTCTACTTTACTGGTTGGTCATGCTCAGTATCTTTTGCTGGCTTCTCTTCCTCTGCTGAATTTCTAGATAATGAAGAATTTAATAATATGCTGAGAATTTAATCCTAGACCTCCTTCTCTTTTCTTATTAACCCTGTAGGTGATTTTATTTTTTAAATACAAACTTTATTGAGCTATAATTCACATACCATGAAATTCACCATTTTAAGTTGTTTAATTCAATGTTTGTTGTACAATCATCATTACTATCTACTTCTATTTATTTATTCAAAAATATATTTTTATTTTTAAATGTTATTTTTACTTGAAAAATTATAATTATATATATTTGTGGGCTATGATGTAATGTTTTTATATATGTATTCAATGTGAAATGACTAAATCAAGTTAACTGACCTAGCCATCACCTTACTTACCTATTGTTTTTTACAGTGAGATAGTTGAAATTTACTGTTATTTTGAAATATGCAATACATTTTTATTGACTATAGTCACCTGCTGTGCAATAGATCTCAACATTTATTTATCCTGCCTTTCTGAAACTTTGTACCCTTTGACCAGCAACTCCACATTCCCTTCCTTCTCTCAATCTCCCAATCTGTAGTAACCATCATTCTACTCTCTACTTCTATGAGTTCCACTTTTTTAGGTTCCACATATCCACACGTCTGTCTGTACCTGACTTATTTCACTTAGCATAATGTCCTCCAGGTTCATCTCTGTTGTCACAAATGATAGCATTTCCTTTTTTTAAAAAAAGTCTGAATAGTTTTTCATCATGTACACATATCATGTTTTCTTTACCTATTCATTCACTAACAGATACTTAGGTTGATTTCATATCTTGGCTATTGTGAGTAATGCTGGAATGAATGTGGGAGTGCAGAGATCCCTTCAATATGTTGATTTCAATTCCTTTGATTATATACTCAGGAAGTGAGGTTGTTGGAGTATATGGTAGTTCTAGTTTTACTTTTATGAGGAACATCCATACTGTTTTCTTTATAATGTCTCTACTAATTTACATTCTCACCAGCAACGTGTAAGAGTTCCCTTTTTGCACATCCTTGCCAACACTTATCTTTCATCTTTTGAATAAAAGCTATTCTAACAGGTATGAGGTAATATCTCATTGTGGTCTTAATTTGCATTTCTCTAATGATTAGTGATACTAAGCATTTTTTTCATGTACTTACTGGCCATTTGTATGACTTCTTTTCAAAAATATCTTTTCAGACCCTTTGCTCGTATTAAAATCATGTTATTTGTTTTATTGCTGTATTAGGTCAATCTTGCATTGGTATAAAGAAATACCTGAGACTGGGTAATTTATAAAGGAAAGAAGTTTAATTGGCTTATGGTTCTGCAGGCCGCATAGGAAGTGTGGTGCTGGCACCTGCTCAGCTTGTGGGAGGCCTCAAGGAGTGTTTACTCATGGTAGAAGGCAAAGTGGAAGCAGGCACATCGCATAGCAAAAGCAGGAGCAAGAGGGGTGGGGTGAGGTGTCACACACTTTTAAACGAACACATCTTACGAGAACTCACTATTGTGAGGATAGCACCAAGTCTTGGGGATCCACTCCCATGATCCAATCACCACCCACCAGGCCCCCCCTCCTACATGTTGTGGGAGGGGTCCAGTGGGAGGTAATTGAATCATGGGGGCCGGTCTTTCCTATGCTATTCTTGTTATAGTTAATAAGTCTCATGAGATCTGATGGGTTTATCAGGAGTTTCAGTTTTTGCTTTTTCTCATTTTCTCTTGCCACTGCTATGTAAGATGTGCCTTTCACCTCCCGCCATGATTGTGACGTCTCCCTAGCCATGTGCAGTTGTTGGTTCAATTAAACCTCTTTTTCTTCCTAGTCTCAGGTATGTCTTTATCAGCAGCATGAAAACGGACTAATACAGGTGGGCACAAATACTCAAACTATATCATCCTGCTCCTGGTCCCCCAAATCTTATGTCCTTCTCTAATTGCAAAATACAATTATACCTTCCCAATAGTTCTCCAGAGTCTTAACTCATTCCAGCATTAACTCAAAAGTTCCAAGTCCAGGTTCAAAGTCTCATCTGGACTCATTTGCTTCTATTTATGAGCCTGAGAAATCAAAACAAGTTATTTACTTCCAAGATACAATGGGGGTACAGGCATTGGGTTATCATTCCTGTTCCAAAAGGGAGAAATCAGCCAAAAGAGAGGGGCTACAGGCCTCAAGCAACTCTGAAACCCAGCAGCACAGCCATTAAATTGTAAAGCTCAAAAATAATCTCTTTTGATACCATGTCCCATGTCCCATGTCCAGGGCACACTAACACAAAGGTTGGGATTTACAAAAGTGGAACTCATGGAGATAGAGAGTAGAATGGTGGTTATCAGAATCTGGGAAAAGAAGAGGAGGAGGATGAAGGGAGTTTGTTAATGGCTGCAAAAATACAGTTGGCTAGAAGGAATGAGTTCTAAAAATCAGTAGAGTAGTAGGGAAATTATAGCTTCAATAATTTATTGTATATTTCAAAAAATAGCTAGAAGAGAAGAATTAAAATGTTCCAAACACAAGAGATAAATATTTGAGGTAATGGATGTTCCAATTACCCTGATTTGATCATTACACATTGTATACATCTATCAAAATACCATCTGTATCCTCAAAATATGTGCAAGTATGATATATCAATTTTTTTTTAAAAGAAACCGTTATCTAAGGTCATAAAGATTTGCTGTTATGTTTTCTTCTGAGGTTTTTATAGTTTTTGCTCTTACATTTCAGTGTCTGATCCATTTTTGGTTAATTTTTGTGTATGGTGTGAAATAGGGATCAAACTTTATTATTTTACATGAGGATATCCAGTTATCTCAGCACCATTTATAGAAAAGACTGCTTTTTCCACATTGAATTAACTTAATATATGAAATTCTGATTATGTAATCACTTTTAAGTTTCAAGAACTCTGTTTTCCTTTCAGAATAGTCCTATTTGGTAATATCCTGTTTTTGTTTTTCTCTTGTTTTCTCTGAGGGTATTTTGATATGACTCTCTCCGCAGAAACCTTTTGTTTCCCTTTTAAAAATCTCCCTCCTCTACTCTCTTTTTGGTCACATCTCCCATGTTACAATATTTCTTCAGCTATCTGGTAATCCTTGGTTCCTGGTTCTTGACTAATATTGGTGTCTTATTTGGGGGGCTTGTGAGCTCAATTGTAGGGTGATTTGAGTGGTGTTTTTTTTGATGAAATGCTGATAACAGTATATGTTAAGTCTTTTTTCTTGGGTTGGTCAAGTTCTGCAGTTAATATTCCTCTAGTCTCTTTCCAGGAGGGTAAAGGTCTGGCTGCCAGTATTCTGGAAGCTTTGTGGAGGAAGAAGTTAGGGGCCTCATTATTCCATCTCTAGTATGATTGCTGTTACTTAAGCCTCCTGTGTCAGGTCTGGTACCACACATTCAACTATGCCCAGTGAATTCCCAGTCCAAGGACTTTATCTGTCAGAGAATAAATTCCCAGTTTCCTTTCTGAGAGGTGATGGGTCAATTTCACAGCAACAGGAATGGGGAGGAGATCTAGGGTTCTAACTATTTATAAGCAACTTGTATAAAAATATTTGTACAAGTGTAAAACTATATACATATAGTTTCACACATATAGTAACCTTGCACATATAGTTCTGCACTTAGTGCAATCTAACCTTGCACATATAGTTTTGCACTTGTACAAATAACACTTCAATATTATTTATAATCCAAATACATTGGACACTATCTAGATTTCTAGCAATAAGATAAATATACACATTCCATACAATAAGATATAGTATAAAAAAGATTAGGTAGAATGTATGTTAATGTGGAAAAAAATTTCATAAAATATTGCTAATATAAAACAATTGGAATAACATGCTCCAATTTATGTAAAAATGTATACAAATGTTCATATAATGCAGTCCATGCATGCATAGAGAAGAGTCTGAAATAATATACACCAATATGTTAATGCTAGTTGACTATATGCCAGAATTAGAGGTGAATATGATTTTGTCCCCTTTATTTTTAGCTGTATTTCATACTATTCTGCAAGACAGATCAGTTACTGACAAATGATGCTTTTGTAAAGTGTAATTCTCAGTTCACAGGTGTGAGCTCCTTTCTTAAGCAGGAACTATCATTTTTGAACTCGTGTATTGTAAGTAAACAGTACAGAGCCTGCACCTAAGTACTCACCAAACCTGTGTGTAAGGAATTCATTCCATTTGCTTTCTTTCATGTTAATAATTTCTCCTGTATTCAGTGAAATCTACTTTACCTTGATGTTCCTGTTTTCTTTTGTCCTCATCAGTGTAAATGCTAAGGGAATGTGTGAATGTAATTTGTCAAAGTGGTCTGATGAAACTTTTGACAAAATTGATATAAGCTTGTTTTCAAAAGATATAACAATGTGTTAAACTTATAAGTAAGACTGTTGAAATGACATTTGACTTAAAATTGAAAAGCTATCAACTCTGAGTTACTGTTTGGAGGGCCGTCTGAAGAAATTGCTGCCTCCTAGCCCACAAAAGAAGAAATGATAGGATCATTTTATACTAAGTCCATTGGCAGACATATAGAGTGGGGGCAGGAAGACAGGATTGCTTGCTGATTTTGGAAAGTGTTCCGAACATTTGATTTGAGGGTTCTGTCTCATAGGAATCACTGGAGAAACAGCAGGAGTTGTGTTTGATAAATCACTTAAGAAATAAATTCTATTGTGTATATTTAAGGTATACAACATGATTTTATAAGATACATGGATAGTAAAAAGATATATAGAGCATTCACAAATTTGCATGTCATTCTTGCATGTGGGCATGCTGATCTTCTCTGTGTTGTTCCAATTATAGAATATGTGTTGTCAAAGCAAGCACTCAATTTTTTTTTTTTTTTTTTCAGAGGGAGTCTCACTCTGTTGCCAGGCTGGAGTACAGTGCCACGATCTTGGCTCACTGCAACCTCCGCCTCCCAGGTTCAAGGAATTCTCCTACCTCAGCCTTCTTAGTAACTGGGACTACAGGCGCGCACCGCCGCGCCCAGCTAATTTTTTTGTAGTTTTACTAGAGACAGGGTTTCACCGTGTTGGCCTGGATGTTCTCCATCTTTTGACCTTGTGATCCACCTGCCTCTGCCTCCCAAAGTGCTGGGATTACAGGTGTGAGCCACTGTGCCCGGCCTAAATCATTTTTATTTATTTATTTTCCTGCTAGTTAGAAGACTTGATAGGGAGAAGCAAGGAAGAGGAGGAGAGCTCTGGTCACGTCCTTCATTGGCTCAGCACTTGAGCTGCTCTTTAATAGGCCTTAGGCTGCCCTTGAAACCCCAGGATGAGAGATACTTTACTTTGCCAGATTATCCTGTGTATCAGTCAGGTTCCAGCCAGAAAAATAAGTCAGTCTAGGTCTTTCAGTAGATGAAATTTAGTCCAGGAAATAGATTTTGCAGATGATGGAGAGGGAGTTTAGGGACCAGAGATAGGGCTTTTGTATGGGAACCAGAACTGTGGAAGAAAGGATAACCTGGAAGGAGGTGCAGCTTCTGGAGACATCAAAGGAGACAGAGGGAGAAGGGAGAAAATTCGCTTGCCATGCCCTTCCTTGTGGCCTTCATCTTCTAGCTGTGCCTCCCATATGCTGAAGCCAGAGGGCAAAAGAGCCTGGAAGCGTCGTTCCCTGAGATGAAGAGCAGAGCACGGCAAGGCAGGGAAGAGCACAGAATGGCAGGGATAGGCACATTGAGTACATTTTATGAAGTTGAGATTGTATGAATTAACTTACTACGCCTGCACCTCTGACATGTTCTTACATACCCACACGCACCCAAGCATTTTCAGCGTGTGTGTGTACCTGTGTTTGTGTATGCATATCTCTGAGATCTTGGTTGGGCTAACGTCCTACTTATGAGAAAAGTGCAAGTGCTCATTCTAAGATTGTATGCAAAATGACAGTGAGCACTCCTGTTTTCAATTGGCACTTAGCATTTACATAATGCTGAAACATCTGGTCTTTCCCATCAACCCGGGCATGAAGTTAGTCCAGTTGATTGCCTGGCATTATGTACAGACAACAGCTGGCTGGTTAACTGGAGTTTTGATTATGACTGAATTGGCTGGATGTTCGGTGTCACATAGACTGATGTTATGACTGGCTAACGACGGAACAGAGCCAGTTACAGGGAAGATCAATGACAAATTTGTGAAATCAAACTTTTGTATGGAATTTCACCGGAAACGATAATTATTTATTTCCAACACTGAGTTTCAGAAACTCACTGGAATTTCACTGGAAAAGATAATTATTTGTTTCCAAGACAGTTTCAGAAACACTGAGACGTGGTTGAGTTTATCTCTGGTGTCTTTTCATTCCCATTTCATCTCCTTGTACCCAAGTGTCCCCTGCCCATGTACCCAATGTCCTCAGGTGCCCTTGGCCATTCACCCTTAAGGCACCTGGCTCCTGGGCTCATCACCCTGGGAACAACCTCCAGATTCTGAATTTTTTAGCCTTTATGTCTCTTTCCCCTTTGTCCCTTTCATCAAATCACATTTGTCCTGTCATTCAGAGATCTGCTGTCTGTTGCAGGATCAACTGATCTCACAATCTAATTTTCATGAAGATGTTTGTAGATGATACTATGCTAATACTTATCTTTTAATCTTTCCATATGTGGAAGTGGTCTCAACTGAGACTGAAATTCAGGCATACTTGGCACATTTTTATCTTGTGCTTGCCAGAAGCATGTTTGCACAAACACTGAGGAATGTCCTGGGAGAATAAGCAGCCAGGTTGGATAAGCTCTCAGCAGAGGGCCTTGCCTGTCAGGGGGTGCTGAGCCAGCATGTGCCACGGTTTCAGGCACCTAGAGCTGTCTCCCTGCCCTAATGGAACATATCTGAGTTTTGTGGAGAGCAGAGGAATTCTAAAATTTTAAGGGAGGTTAGGGGTGAGAAGAGAGAGAGATAGAGAACTCTGTAAAGTAAGTTCTGAGACCTAAGTGATCATGCTTGAGAATCTCTCCAAAGCAAAATGGAAGTAAGATTTCTTTCTTGTGACAGAGTTCTTGCATAGATTTGATTTCTGGAGAGCCCTAGGAGGAACTGGGGTACTTGCAGGAATGATGGCTAAGCCAAGCTGAGGTCATCACAGGAGCCAGCAGGAATGGGATTATTTAGCAGCCTGTCTCAGACTCAGAAATATTGGAAAAAAGTTTTTGAAGGGATCAGGGCGAGTAGTGGGGTGGGGAAGGCTGAAGGCCTGAAGGCCTGTCAAACACAAATGGTTATACAGACTAGAAACATTTAAATTATTCCATTAAATAAAACTTCATTTTAACCCACACTTTTAAGGTCTAAGGAAATTCAGATGGTACCTGTAGCATATTTGCCTTTTACCAGAACCTTTGAATGTTTTGCATCCAATACGTGATTGATGGTAGCAACTTCAGATCATACCAATGGTAAATTGGTGAAGGAAAAATACTTTTAGGCAATCATTTAAGTATTCTTCAAATAATACTCCATAAATTTGCTTCTTAGCCCCCTGGTTTTATTTGTTAGCTTAAGACATGAGGACTTGAAATGTCACTATATGATTATTGACAGAGACTTGGTTGCTGCTGGGTAGAAGAGTGTGAAATCCAAACACATTTTAAAAATCTGAGTAGATCTTTATTAGCTCATAACTAGCAATATTACAATGGAAATTATTTTAGTTTATGTAAATAAGGTAAAACTTCAGTTTTAATGATAGGTTGCTGATTGGTCTTACTATATTAATTCATTTAACAGACATTTGCTTGGTGCCTATAATGTATTAAACAGTTTGCTGGGCTTAGGGTGAACTTTGGTGAATGCAGCAGATTTAAAATCTAATATAGCTAAATCAGGCTTAACTTTCTTTGTTGTCTAGCTGAGACACCAACTGAAAAGATTAAGGTATCAAAACAATAAATTTTCCCTAAGAAAGATTATGCTCTATATCATCAGAAAGTATGTTCCCTGTCCCAAGATCTGGACATATGAATATATATCAATGTTTTGTGTGTGTGTGTGTGTGTGTGTGTGTGTGTTTAGTATAACTTGTGTTCATATCACAGAACCTCATATGGCTAAAGAAAAATTACAGAAATTTAAATATCAAACATGTAGGTTTCATCTTTAGAAAAAAATTCCAGATTTTATTTAAACCACCAAAATTGCAGTCAGCTGCTGAGAGAAAAATAAAGGCAAAGATCCTGTTTACAAGGCACCTAGAGTTCAGCCATCAGATGGTTTTGGTTAAGATGTAGTTTCTTTTCATGCCGATGTTTCTATAAGACATTTTTGTGAGTCAGTCATCACCCAACTTCCTAGTGTCTTTCTTTCCCTTGTATAGTTTCTTTCTTTCTTTCTTTCTTTCTTTCTTTCTTTCTTTCTTTCTTTCTTTCTTTCTTTCTTTCTTTCTTTCTTTCTTTCTTTCTTTCCAATACCTTTATAGCACTGCTTTTAATTTTTGACATTTACTGAAAACTTACTCCCTTGCAGCTTTTGTGGGATTTGTAGAATTGCGTTCTATAATAGGCAAAATTCTGATAGGGGTGTGTGTGTGTGTGTGTGTGTGTGTGTGTGGTGGGGGGAGCGGGGATTCCTGTTGTTTCTTTGTGGCTCTTTCTGTCCAGCTTTAACTTCTGCTGGCAAGATGCTGGTATTAAATCTTTCCCCCACTAAGTTGTTAAGTATTTAAGCTTTTAATAGACTTGTCCTCTCTACCTTGTCTATGCATTCCTGGAATGAAAGTACATTAGAAGGTTTACAGATTGTAACTACCCCACCATGCCTAGAATAACTAGGTGATAAGCCATCTCATGCCAAGCTAATATTCTGCCCTCTGGGAAGTTTGCTATAGGTATTGGGGTGTACCCCACTACACCAAAGGTGAGGGAGTTAAGCTGTTTGTTTGCCAGAGGGTCACAGCTTTCCCATATATGTGTGCCAGGATCTGCTGATAGGGAGTCTGTCTTGATGAGCTGCACTGCACTCTCAATGCCTCCAGTGCTAAAGCATTCAATGAAAATCTTTTTGATTGACTGTTCCCACTATGGCAGTTTTTGATTTCGCAGTGGGTTTGGATTTAAACCTGTTGTCCTCATTTTCTGATAATGGGAACCTCTACATGCTCATTGCCATAAAAGGAACCCAGTAGACACACCTGTGAATTATATTTTGCATGTTTTCTACCAACTGGTAAAGCCACTTAAAATATTTAGATTCATTTGTTTTAGATGTAGAAAAAAATCTCTCTGTGTGACTACAATTGCAAGTCCACTATGTGTGTATTTGTTTTTAACCATTCTTTCTGAAATGGAAACTGATCATTCTGAGTCATAGCTGAAGAAGTACTTACCCCCTTTTCAGCTGGAAAAAATATGCACCTGAATTATGGGAGAATAAAAAGAAACCTTCAGTTCACCATTCTTCTTGGCTCCTTTCCTTTGGTAGAGAGGTAGGGTTGAAAGGAAGAAAAAAAAAACACACACACACCAAAACCTCATGGACTATTCCCTTAACTTCTTTCCCTGGAGTCATTCACTACTAACTGAAATAAACCTATCCATTCATTACAGAAAATTTTATTTGCCTATTTTAAAAAGCCTATTTTTCTGTATCTCTTATTTTTCTTTAATTCTGAAGAGTATTGAATGGTAAATGTGCATTTTCTTTTTTTTTTTTTTACGTAGTTTGTGAACAATTTAAAGAAAACTGTAAAACGTTATTATGTTTTAGCTTGTGACTTTGTACAGATCTGAGTATTGTGTGTTCTTCATAATGTATTGTGTAAATGATTAGTTACAATCACAACCTACTCTTTTGGCTCTGACAGCAGATATTTTTGTTAGA